TCTATTTTTCATGAATAAGGCCACAAATCTATTAGCTTTTTTTATTGACCCACAACACGACTAAACAATTCAAGAAAGTTAGCCCTGTCGTATGCGTCACTTTTTCGCAGTGCATACAACTATTTCAATCTATCCATGCGTCAACTACGGAAGAATTAACCTTCTGAACATCGTTAAAATTCTTCTTAGCGAGCAATTTGTGGGGACAAATAAGGCCTACTGTCAACGAGTTTTACTCGTGTGTGGCTTTAGAAATCCATCTAGACCATCTCTTTGTCGATTTAAAAGTGGTTTTTGACAGCAAGAAAAAGAGTTGCGTATACGCCACGTTGTCTGAATTTTCTAATCTCCCAAGCTAACACTTAAGTCTGTGTTAAATAACGTTTAGCAAAACCAGCTGACCTGGCAGAGGTAACGTGCCTCTTTATCATAAGTAGAAGGATATTGAAATGTATTAAGCCAAAACTCAGGCCAGACGAACTAGGTTAGATTGGTTAGGTGTGAGCCCCTTGTATCAGGGACTCACTTAGACAATTAGGAGATACCACATTCTGAACGACACTCAATACTTGGTCTATGAAACGCCTCGAGCTTATTATGTAATTACGAATTCGGCTAATCCTAATGCCCCTGAGCTGCTCGGGGCTATTAGCACTTTCACTACCAAGCGTATTTAAGCAGTGCGTCATCACAGACCAGGTAGGATTTTATTTGTTTTTGTCTAGTGCTTGGGGTTTTGGTTGTCATTGGGTATGTCATTGGGGACACATATATAGGACACATATGTGTGGGCATGATATTCTCTGAAACATTGCTCAATACATAGGCTAATTACTTGGTCTTTATGTTCAAATTAATTATGTTCAAACAAGCCTAAATATATGTACTTACCGTCCTCTGTGTATTTATTTAACTATGAAGCTAATATTTTCTCTCTTAAAGTCAGTAAAGACTTTCACACGTGCACTGTAAATAAACATAACCTCATACTTTACAGGTAGCTGTAATCCCGAGACCACTTGTCGCAAACGTATGCCAGACTTTCCTATAGACCATACTGTATCTAACAACCCGCTATCGCAGACCGCGGCGCATGTAGGTATAATTTAATTAAGTTAAACCGGCGTCACACATTTGTGTCGGTGGTCGCACGTGAAAACTCAGCTGACAGATATATGTGATGCCTGGCAGCGAACGTGTTAAGGATGTGAGAGCCAAAGTACCTTAGCCTGGCAAACGCTGGGCACCTAAGAAGGCATTGTTGAGGGGATTCCACCATACAGATTGGTCTTTAAAAGGCCACTATACTAATTCAGAAATTAATGAAGAAAATAATACGCCTTGTTTAAAAAATTTTTTATTCTCAAAGGGCTTAAAGTGGTTTACCAAATTCGATCAGAGCCAGAAGTTATGCTCAACGTCACCCTGCAAAACTTTAGTTGCAAGCTCGTACGAGTCCGGACTAGTCAGAATTAGTCAGATTTTACAGGAAATCGATCACGTACTCGGTTCTCTGACAATTGAGAGGACAAAAAAGAGTATAAATATGGTTCTCTCTCTGTCAGAAGTTACCAATTTTAATCGGAAGATTTTTTGCTGGTAAATTCCGGTAAATGTGTCCAGCGATCAGCTGTAGTGTGTTTGACAACCAAATTGCAAAGAAAAGAAAAGTGTTCTCTGCTAATGCATGTTGAAATGTATTTAATTACTTGTTTAAAGGGTTTCCGATGAGTTTGAAAGTATTTTTTTGTTATTTACATTTTTCAGATGAGCGTGTTTACATACAAAATAAGCAAAATTTTGCAACCAAAATTTGGAGGTTATGTTGATGTTGTCAGAAAGCGATCCCGTTCTTTTCAGTGTTACTCTCTCGCTCTGAGCGAATTTTTATTTTTTGCCAGTTTTACTAGTTTTAGTCCGAGGAATACCGGATTGGACCTTTAGTTTGCTAAATCCCAAAATTAGAGATGGCCTAGTACAGACAGATCTCCCCTAGTATTTCTGCTCAGTTATTCAGCGATGTGAGAAATGCGTAAAAAAAATTATTAATTTTAAGGCACGCTAGTATTCTTTTAGATACAATTATTTTCTCAAATTGGGTACAATTTGAATATTTCATATTCCATCACTAGTGTGAACTGTTTAGGCTCCGAAAGTGTACGACCATACATACGTTTCGCCGGGTTGAAAAGTAAATAAAACACAATTGTTTTGAGGTTTCTTATAAACTTCATCTAAACAATTTAATTTTTCCTCTTTGCTATTTACTTTGGCATTAGACAATTTGGTTTTAATTTTTCTGATTTTTAGTAATTTGAATTTATGTATGTATGCGTTAATAAAATATTATAACTTTCTGTTTAATAAATATCCATATGAAATCGACCAAAAGGTTGAAATAAAGCATTTTTGATTTACATGAATTTTCATGTAACGATGTTTTGCCAAAGGAAATTTCGTTTGAGCGTTCAAAATTTTAAAATTTCCCTGACATTGCAATTTTATTTTTTGAATATTTCAGAAATTATTTTAGTTACAAAAATGGGTTCTTTTCTCTTTTTAAAAGTGACATTTGAGGTTATATATAAACGAATTCTAAAATAATGCAATATATAGAAATACAAATTTCGTTTAGTTCCCTTAACTTAATTGAATTCAACTTTTAAAACCAACCTAAAATAGGATTAAAGTGATTGACAGTAAAATAAATTTTACCAAAAAAAAAAACGTGGGGTGCCTAATATCAATTGTTTTGAACTTTTCATTTTCAGTTCAGTAATATTGAATATTGTCAAAAGCAGGACTATAAAATCTAAGAAGCACCCTACGCTTAATTAAAACGAAATTAACTATAACAGTTTTTGAGATATTCAAAAAAGTAAGCTTATAAAATTCCGGAAATTGTGAAATTTAAAATTTTGCATATTTTAAATTTTTCCTTTGGCAGAACTTCATTACATGATATAAGAAGAAAAAAACTTCTGACCAAAATTCATCCAAATCAAATATGGTTGCTTCGAACCAATTGACGATTTAACGTGGATTGACCCATAATTATCAATTTGCTGTGTGACATTGCGATAATATAGGTTATGTGTTCCATTACTTGATTGTAGTTAAGCGCTAATATAAATTTTCTAAATAATGTAGATAATACAATATAAAGATCTTTTTTATAATGAAAAATAATTGTACATACATACATGTATATATATATAATTTGTCTCTTTGGCTAATAAGTTTGTTTTGTTTGTTCGAATAAATATCTTAATTGAATTAAATTTGCGTGAATTAAAAATTGTTCTCCATTGCGTTTGTGAGTGCAAAAATATTCTTCCATATGCTGCTTGAAATTACTATCAAGATTTCAACTTGTTTGTTTTTTTTTTTTGGGCTTGGCTTAGGTTTTTAGTTGTTGAACAACGCGAAACACACTTTGCTGCGTGTTTTACTAGATATACATAAATGTATTAACAATTTGAGGTTAGAATTGCTTTCAGATTTCAAGATAAGTTTTTTAAGGTTATATTTCTTTATAAACCGTTAGTGTTTTCTTACTTTTACGACTATGCTTTTTTTCATTGCTAATTTGTCGCTGTGTATAGGCAATACGTATAACAGTTTGCGTCTCTAAACAATTTTTCACTAGAATTTTGAGCTAATTACAGATAAAATTTTCCATTTAACCTCTTCTTCGTGCGTTTTGTTCTCTTTTAGCTTCATAAGATTATTCAACGCAAATTATTTTTGTCTTAAATCCATTTGAAATTTTACATAGCATTTCCACTATCCTTAAATTGCGCAATTCACAAAGTCAATTTGAGATTGTAACTGTTTGAGTGATTGATTGCAGTTTCAATGCCAATTTTTTTATGCTGTGATTTATAATTTCGTTTGATCCTTTGGTGGGAACATTTAGTTAAATTTATTTTGGTTTATCGTTCATTAATTCTTCTTGCTTGAAAATTATTTCCAGTGAAAACATTTTGGAGTCGATTAAACCCAATTTTCTATTACATCCAGTTTTTCTCTCACCAAATTGAGAACCGTATCGCAGTTTCAGCTTAAATTAGGAATAGTGCCCAATTGCGCAATTTGGGGCGCGTGAGAACGTGCTATTTCGAATAAAATATGAATTTGATATTTTTCAAAAAACTTTCCAAAGCAATTGTTTTTTTGTTTGAATTAAAGGTGCATGTAAATGCTTTTAAAAGTGCTACATATCTACATAATTAGGTATGTATGTATATTTCGAAAAAAAGTTTATCCGGTGTACTTTATTTGGCAAATTAAAGGTACTTACTGCTTTCCATTAACCAGAGAGGTATTTTGTAGTTGAAAGCTTTTTGTTTGCTCCATTCTTTGTTGGTATTTTTTGGTTGATTTAAGAAAAATTCATTTTGGAAGATATGCTTGGTTTTCTTTCGTTGTAGGTGGGCTTGTGGTTTTTGTATGAAAAATGCGAGATTTTAATTTTTTAATTTTTGTACATGATTGCACTATTTATAATATTTTTTATTTTGATGGCTTTTGACATTTTATTTTATGAATTAATCGGGTTTGAGACATACAGCAATAATAACAACAACTACTAATATTCAGCACTAATCTTAATATGTGAGCGTGTACAGGGGGCCTAAGTGTATTTGCACTACTTTCAAGCTTTTCTTTAAAGGAAATTTGTTATTGCAATGAATACATACATACATTTACATATATGTTAGTATGTATGAAACAAAATTTAAATTTGAAATTAATATTCAAAAATTTGTTTGAGCTTGAGGCCGTTTGTAATGAAAATTTTTGTGCATAAACAGCAACAAAGTAAAAACAAGCTCAAGCTCAATAAAATTGTTGAGCCATTAATTATTTATTGTATTAGTCGTTTGAGATTTATTATTATTTTTTTTTTTGATTTTATTATAGGAAGTTTCCACAACGCCCAGATTTCGCAATTTCAATTTGAATATGAATTTCAATTTCGATGACAGTTTTTTTTCATTTACTAATGTTCTTATTGTTCACAATAAGCAATTTTCAGGGTTGTATTCACAATTTCATTGAAATTGGGATTCACTTACAATTTCGGATGGCAGGTTTTGGTTTGGCCAAATTAAGAATCGTGCAGCTGAAATTGCGAATAATGTCGAAATTGCACAATTTAGACTTGAGGCAAACTCCTATTATTAGCATAAGAATTAATTTTTTTAATAATTCTTTCTTAAATCATATCTAGTAAATTTTTAATTTTCTTATTATTATTATAAAGCAAAATTAAAATAAATTGTTTTTGGTGCTTTTTTATAAAAAAAAAAATAAGCTAACCCAAATTTTGCACTATAATTAGCATGCTCATGTAGTATTTGTCACATATATGTTTGTATGCATATTTTTTACATACTTTGTAAAATCATTTTAAAACTAACATTTTTGTTATACGTATGTATATTTACTCAATTTAGCAAAACGCAACAATTTATTACATATTTTACTAAATATGTTTTTGCATTTATTTCTTTGGTGATTCGTTGTTAATAATACTCAATCGGCGTATATTTGGCTTATCGTAATCTTCCATTGAGATGCCTCGTGAAAGTTTACGTGAGCCATTCTGTCCATCCATGGAGCCACCCGAACTGGTTGAGTAAGCGCGTCCACGATCAACACCAGGCATAACGACAGAGGTTAGAATACCTTGACCTTTGCAGAAGAGTAAAATCGACTGTGCCACTTTGGCGGGCTGCGAAGGAGAATAAAAGAAAGGTAAATTATACAATTTTAAATGAAATTCAGATTTATCAGCCCCTGCTAAAAGTATGCCCATCTATAGATGAGACCTTGGCTATTCACACCATCATGTCAGATTTTTGACATAAAATTATTGATTTATCTACAAAGTTGTTTGTTTTGTAAACATAGTAGTTCTCGGAGTGGGTAAAACTGACGCCAACCCAGCAGAAAATTTGTAACCGCTTCTTGTGTAACCCAGAAAAAAATCTGTAATCGCTTCTTGTGTTTCCAAATGAACATTTCTGATTTCTGTTCAGTGCTGTTTCAGGCCCATTTCGAGACAAGTTACCATCTGGTTTATGAAGTAGTAGGATCTTTTCGGGACCTGTTCAGGACTGCTTTAGGACCATTTCGGAACTTTTATGGGTGTGGTTATGGATCATTTGAGACTGTTTCAGGCCTATCAGGCCTATTTTGGGACAAGTTCGGGCACATTTAGGGCCTAGTTCAGGTTTACTTCGCGACTAGTAAGTATTTCCTCGGGAACGTTTGAAGACTTGTTCGAGATGATATAGGGACAACTTCACGAATTCTACTTTTGCAACTTAAGGACAATTTTGGGATAAGTTCGGGATCGAAATGATCCTGCACTATTGCCGAAGTAGTTGTGAATCCCGACAAAATGAATAAAATGAAATGAATTTTTTGTTGAATTTTCACACATAAAATTCCGTGAGTACCTGGCACTTGCGTTTTTCCTATTTCTAAAAGCTCTAATTAACATGTGTTTTGTCCCTTAGAAATGTCATTTACTTACCGCATCAGCTAATACATCGCCTGCACGCTCTATTTTCAAAATGGTCACCTTTTCCTTCTCAACATCCTTGTGCAACTGAAAATTCGAAAAAATTGTAAAATTAAAAAAACTACGCAAGTCTCTTTTACTAATTCAACTTTACCTTCTCAACCATGGAAGCATAGGGGCTCAACATGCCTGTGATTAAGATGACATCAATCTTGCAGCCCTTCAATGTAAGATCCTTGCGGCTATTGAAAACGAGATGTGACCCAAAAAAAGGTGTTAAAATAATCAACCGATCGCGCAGTAGTATTTTATTTTATGAAATTTACTTTAACTACTATACATATATTTAATGCATATAATTATTAAAAAAAAAAAAGTTCTTACCTCATGAATGCCTTGACGTAGAGTCCCACATTTTTGCTATTCAAAGTGCTGTGCAAACGCTTCTGATATTCGGTGACAATTTTTTCCTTGTCGGGATTATCACCAACCAATTGCTATACATGTATGTACATATACATTTATATGTATGTATAATTTTTTAGCAAATTTTTGGCGACAAAATTTTTTTGTTTTTTTTTTGTGGTGGTGGATGTGATAGTTTGGAAATAGGCAATGTGATGAAATACATAGTCCAAGAATCAGCGATGGAGTACAGAAAAGGGCATTTAATGGATGGAAATGATACAAATGTTAATGTAAATTTTTATATTTATAAAATTTTGACTCGAATTATGTATGTATACATATCTATTTATGGGGGGACAAACTTGTGTATTTTTGGTTAAAAAAAAAAATGTTTTAAAGAGCTTTATAAAGTACTACTTTTATAAAAATTGTCAATTCATAAAGCATTTAAAGTTATCTTAATTTTTTATGAATTTGGGTACTTTTTGATTATAGAAAGCTAAGCTAAGCTAAAAATTATAGAGAATCCTCTGGCAAAATAGTGATAACACATCCAATGCAGATGATTATATTGCAAATTGCGGGCATGTAAATGATTGAAGGTTGAAGGAAAATCAAAGTTATTGTTTAGTTGAAGCTTAAAGTAGCAAATCGAAATCTTTAAAAAGTCTCGCATCTATTGTTCTACCTCTGTATAAATAAATTGTGAACACAAAAACTTTAATAACAAAGTGGGGATTTAATGGAGAGCGAAATTATTTAATGCCGCGCAAATATGTATTATACATGTATGTATGTATGTATGTGAAACTAGAGAAAACGGAATACGTGCAGAATCTACATACAATAATAATGAATTAAATTGGAATTCAAAAGGAACTAGGCAAATTTGTATTTTATTTAGGTGAGCTGTGAGTATTTGCTGGAAATCGCTGTGAGCTAAGCTGAATTGTGTGATAATTACCTGGAACTAAAGCAAAAATAAAGGAAAATGAGCTGCAAACTTTAGAAACTCATTATTATTATTTTTTAATAAAACACATTTGTTTATAAAGCACACTGGAGGTAAAATTTTGCCACTTCTAGCAACTATACGTGTGAGGATTCCGCCAAATTGGGATCAGGATTTCAATAGAGTACACAAGTTTCTATTTTAAGGGTAAGTCTAGAACTAATGCCTTATTTTCACTCGACATTTTTGTCATTAAAATTTTAATGTTTTCATTTAGTGACAGTTTTTCAGTGCCAGTTTAAACTTAGATTATGTAAACTGCGTTTATATCGAACAGCTGGCTGACATTTGATTGGCTAATCTTAGTTTAAACCAGTAAGCCATGCACTGAAAAACTGGCAATAAATGAACATTAAAATTATAATGTGAAAATTGGAAATTAAGAAATAGCGGCGACGGATTAATCATTTTAATGTCTAGTGGAAATGCGGCATACAACTTTAATGCTACATTAAGTAAATATCTACATACAAATCAATATATTATTTCAACATATCACGCCAAACGAAAAAAACATTATTTTTTTTTCGAAATTCATGCAAAATTCTGAACTTTAAAATTTATTTTACAGAATTCGTTTTAGTTTCGTTGTAAAAGTTATATTTAGGACTACAAGAAATGTATATATAAAATTCGAAAGATGAAAAAATTTACAAAATTTTGAAATGAAAAATAACGTAAAAGTAAAAACTTAAAATAATTTTTTTATAAGATCTTAAAATATCCTTTAACTTTTCTAGAAGGTCTTTTTTCAGACATAAATTTTTGAACTTTAACTTTCTGCAAACTGTACAAAATTTTATTAAATTTAAATTTATTTTTTATTTAAATTTCAGGATCTTGTAAGATCAGTTAAAGGTATAAAAGAGGTTGTGCTAAAAAGGTATATAAGTTTTTGCTTTAACGATTTTTTAAATTTTAAAATTCTGCAACTTTTTTATTTTAATTTTTTTTAATATATCTTTTTTAAAATGTAAATCCGGGCGACTAAGGAATTTTGACATGGATTGAGAAATATGAATATATCTTTTAAATAACTAAATAGATAAACACATGTGTATGTAAAAACAAAGCTTCGCGTTATGCAGTAGGAAAATGTGTGACTTTTAAACAAAGCATGAAACTCGAAACCTCATCATCAAAGAATTTTAGAAACAGAAGTGTTTTCAGTTAAGAGGTAAATTGAATAAAGCAACAATTCAAAGCTGATTTATGTTGAAGAAGTGAGTTTACTAATATATGTATGTAAGTTATAGATGTATGTGTGTAGGTTTTGTTATACCTCCATAACCTGGCAGATGACGAATAGTTTCAGATATAGAAAAAATGTCAGCAAAGAGTATCATATTATGTTGCGTTTATTAAATACGTCAGCCCAAGGCAAGTTTTTTTTTGTGTATGTTTCAATTGCAAAAAAGAAAAAAATTAAAAAATGTTATTTCTATATTTAATCGCCATTTAAAAGTTACACACATAGCTGACACGCAATTTAGTATAGTACCGATAATTTTTACATATAATTAATTGTTGTATAATTCGAATTTTGGGGTGTTTTTGTACATAAAACACACTGATTTGTGCATTTTCTAAAAACAATTAGTTACACACATACACACAGGCAAACATCAAAGAACACACACAAAACCATTGCGCCATTGCATACTTACATGTCCAAATTTGTGATACATCAAAAAGCTTTCAGCCGATTGTGCTATATCATCGTTTTTCCATTGAATAAGCTATAATTAAAATCAGTGTTTATTAAAGATTACTTTCAATTAAAAAATGTTTTTTTGTTCGCTTTAAAATTACTTCCGGAATCCTTATTCCTGCCCTGAGTGGCCAGTCGCACTTACACTCACCTTGGTTTTGAAGGATTGCAAAACGCTTGCTGCGCTGCCGGTAGCATTAATCAACACCAAGCCAAGCACACGCGATGGATGCGCCAATCCGAAACGTGCCAGCACATTAGCGCCGGCACCTTCGCCCAGACCCATCACATATTTGACATGTAGAAAGTCCAAAACAGTGATGAGATCCTCGCCAAGGGTTTGCAATGAAGGAAATTGGAAGCTGGAAAAAAGGAGAAAATATGGATATGTTCGTTAGTATAAATACGTAAAACTCTTGACTATGTATATATGTACATACTTACATTAGGGTGCATCACCAAAAAAAAAGTTTTTTTATATTTTAAGACTTCTGCCATAATGTTTTAAATTTTTAAAGCTTATTATAGAAGGTAGAAGAGTCATCTGAGGCGATTTTTTAAGAAAAAATATTTTTAGAAACTAATATTTTGAGGTATTTTTAAATAGGTCCACCTCATGTAAATCTTAAAAATTTCTAATGTATTTTGGCGGAAGTCATAAAATATAATACATTTTATATTTCCGATGGAAAAACAGTACCGATGTTTTTTTATGGAGAGTGATGCATCCTAATATATACACATTTACTTATTATTTTGGGAAATGATGTTCCGCATAAATAGAAAATTGACTTGAAGTTCAAAAATTAATTATATTTTCTCTTGTTCTTGTATTTAAAGCATTTAACAAAACCGGAAAGAAAAACTGTTAATAATTATAATCGCAAAACCGTATTTTCTCAAGCGGTTCTCGATCTCAAATTTAAAGGAATTCATCATTGTTGCTTTAGATTAAATCTCCCATTTAGCGGGCCCCTACCTTTAGATAAGTGTTATTTGCTCTCATTCGAAAATCGAAGAAGAAATATCTACATCTTCTCTTTTCCCCTATTTTGCGCTAAAACTGCTAGTTGGTTTACGAACTCTTGAACTTACAAACCTATTCTATATTAGGATCCGGTGATGTTAAGTTTGAACTCTTTTTCAACTTTACCGACATTTTCTTTTTTTGATACTTAACCTATTAGATGGCTATTTAACTTACTTGTCAGGTAAAGGATCTGCATTATCAGCGTGTCCTGGTACATCGATATGTATGAAACAAGAACGTTCCTTGATTTCGGTCATGCATGGACTGCTGACGAATTCCTGGAATGAATTATCTGCGAGGCGAGATAAGAAAATTAATAAGAACAAATTTTATTGTGATATACTTGTATGTATGTATATTAGGGAGCATCACCAAAAAAAAGTTGCGGTTTTTTCATCTGAATTATAGAACTGATTACATTTAAGGCTGCGGCCAAAACATTTCGGAAAAATATTAAGATTTACGTGGGCTAGACCGATTTGGAAATATCCCCAAAAATCTGACTATTCTTATACCCTTGATAAAAGTTTTAAGCAGTTTTATGCATAACTTTTAAGCTAAATATCTTCTATCATGTGAAGTGATTTTTTAGGAGAATTAATTTTACTTTTAAAAAAATTGATTTTTGGAGATATTTTCTTAAGACTTTTCCGAAATATTTTGGCCAAAGTATTAAAATATTACAAACATTGTATTATATTCCGTTGGAAAATCAATACCGATTTTTTTGTCATACAGAGTGATACACCCTAATGTACATGCATAAATGCCAGGAGACTGTCTGTTAAGCTATGCGTTCTTCAATAAAATAAAAAGGCAAATAACAATTGGTGTAGGAATTTCTATGCGACTGTTTTTTTATTCTTAATTTCTCCTTCATTTGTTAAGCATCGCTTTCATCCTTTAACTTGTGTTATTTTCTTAACATTTTATGGCATTTCACGGTACATAAATCATTTCGCTGGGAAAAATCGCAACATAAATAAGGTGACCAGCTACATGTACATATTCTGGCATAGATATAAAGTAAATAGGTGCGTATATATATAAATACAAGTATACAAGTAAATACAACCATTTAATAAAATGGCTCACAGTGAAAATGTTGGATGGTTTTTTTTTGCGCGCTGCTACATATTTAACTTTTATATTACTTTGCATGCCTTTTTGTTTATTGTGAATGCAGTATTTTCATTTATTACTTTGCGCATTTGACCGTTAACAGAAATTTACTTAATTTATGACTACGAGTACGTGGTTGCTGCGCGCAAAAAAAATAAAATAAAAAAATAAAAATCATAAATAAATTTTAATAAACTTACGATTGCATCCCAGATCGTGGACTGTTATAAAGACGGCTCGTTTCTCTTGTTGTGTCAAGTCGCCCTGATGGAAAAATTAAGTGAAGTGAAATTAAATGTTTTTACTTCTTATTTTGTTATAATTATGAAGTATTTTAAAAGCTGAAAGCCTTTTGGAGAAGCTTTATAGTTCAAATTATATTTTTTAAGTACGTGTTTGATGATGTACTTTACCTGTACTGTTACGGTCAATTCGCCACTTTTGTCCGTATTCACAAGATATTTCTGCAATGGTTGAAAAAAATATAAAATTTGATTTAAAATATATGTACATATAGTATAGTATAGTATTTCTTGAATTTGAAACTGAGAGGAAGTTTTTTTTTTGGAACGGGGAAAATACTTATAAGCAAGGAATAGATATAATTTGTAAGGTATGTAATGACCAGCATGAGATTTGAATTTGATTTGATATTTATGTAAGTGAAATGCAACGCTGTTTTTAATGACGGCCACTCAAACCTGATTGTAGGAAGTGGAAAACTGAAAGTCTTCTGTAAACACGTGAAACGCTGCTAACTTTAGACAACATGGTGGCAATGATGGGCATACTTAAATAGTTTTGCATTTAAAGCAGGAAGCGAAAACAGCTGTTTAATTATTATTATTATATAATTGTTGCGTAATGATATTTATTTCAACGAAGTTATTGAGGTTTATATGATGATTGATTTTTATTTTTAGATCATTGTTTTTTAATTTTAATTTTCGATAAATAATACACGTTAAATTAGGATTTTTATTTTGCCGTCAAATTTTTAAATAGTCAAGGGTGGTCACCTCTGCATTAGATGTAGTCAAGGGTGGTTACCTCTGCATTTGATGTAACTGACTACTTTTGGACAGAAAATATCAATAGGAAAAACAAAATATTTATTTTTTTTCATTTAATTGACTTATTTTATTACATATCATATTGATGTACATATTCTGCTGCAGGTGGTCCCATATTCAAACTCCGTCGGACATAACTTCAAAATGATAATATGAAATTTTGACATCACCTTTATTTGTCCTCAACTCGAGAAAGTATTTGCGAAGTGCAGGATATTTAAATAGAAACGCGTTTAAAGAAAACAATCTTCTGCATTATTCCTGCATTACTTGTCAACTAGTTTCAAGTTAGCTTTTTGTAGCTAACTACAAATTATATATTTTTTAGAAATCCCGCAAAAAAACTAACAGCAAATGGGTTATTTTTAATCAATTTACAATTTTTTTCTGCAATGTGCGTTCACATATGTACAATGTGCATTAACTTTGCCGCCTGCCTTAAATATTATGACTGCATTTATAAAAGTTGGCGTACATACACATACATACATACATACATATACAAAATCATAAAATTTTCACTTATATACAAAGAACATTAGAGGTCACACATTAACATAAAATGGCTGCCGACAAATGTGTTTAATATTCGTAATCAGCTAACGGATGTAAATAAAGAGGGAATGTGAATAAAACCATAAGCAAAAACAATGCCTAGAGCACAATGGAAGTAGGTAATTAGTGTCAAAAAGAAAAAAATAATAATGGAAATTCAGTGCGGAATTGTAATGGCCGGAATAGTGTACATATATGTATGTAGGTGTACAAATGTGTGGAAGGTACCGACCTAAACGATGCTGGCATACATACGAGTAGTTAGTGAGTGCATTTGATTCATGCACCATGGGCCTTTTTTGGCACTGATTCGAATTCTCTGCTTAAAATTTTTTACTAAAATTCTTTTAAAACCGAAACTTTGATGTTCTTTAAAAAAAATTTTGATCACATTAGTGAACAACTTAAAGTGAAAATGTACATACATACACACATTTCATATTCCTTATGTATTAAAAATCCTATCGAATGTTATTTGCTTACAGTGGGCTACATTAAAGTAAATTCTGTTAAATTTTTATTTAAAATTTTTTTCTATTTCCTTGCCGATTTTTCTCCCCTTTCAAAAGCACGCTTCCACCTGTTTTAGTCTTGCTAAGCACAACTTTTATAGTAGAAGCCACAAACGTGCCAGCGTGAGGAGCCCATGCTAATGTATTGTAAGTAAGTAGATATGCACATACATACATACATACATACATATATTAGTACAAAGATGGGTTTTTGACAAACTCGTGCTAACCAGGATGCCCATGAGTATACACGGCTATTACGTGCTGCTGCGCAACTTTTCAATGAACTACTAAGTATGGCAGTTGTGTTAACACGTATTTATATTCACATATACTTACTTACATATGTATGCATGTATGTACATGAAATAACTTACACTTAGTTAGCGTGCACGAACCAAATATTGAAGATGAAAATGCGTACAGAAGTACATGTTCCTAGACGTTCAGAAAACAATTAAAAGAAAAAACGCATTTGGTTGTAAAAGCTTTGAAGCTTTCCCCATTTTTGCGACTCCAAGAACATTATCATAAAATTTGTTTGTGAAATTCGATACCCTCTTCAATTATCTCTGGATAATTTTATATGGCATATTTCTTGCGAAAGCATCATCGAGTTTTTGCCAATAGTTTATTTGGTCTTGTTTTTCTAGGAACAAATTGAATGAAAATTTTCAGCAGAATTATGACAGAAGGGGGGAGTGTGTTGTTCGAAATGCTAGTGCAAGATCATTGTGATGACCAATGGGTTTCCTCTTACCTATCCCTACATGGTTTTAAACACCTGAATGTTGCTCATACGCCACGTGCAACCACACGTTCATTTCCAAAATTGTATAAATATGTATGTATTTAGCGCTATGGTAAAAGGCCGACGTGGAGCAAAATGTTGTATTTATTCTGAACTGAAGTTTTTTCTTTGATTAAAAAGTTGATGCCCATCAGCCTCTAATACAATTAAGTTGATACAGTGCCGGCAAAATCACGCAAGAGCATTTTCTATCTTAACAAAAACATTGTAAATTGTACAGCTTTAGTATGATACAGGTAAAGATTTAGTCAACCATCTTCTGTTTACTTTATTCAATTATAGTAAACGAAATACAAATACAATATGCAGTAGATATACAAAATGTCATTTGCAGACAGATATTATGTATTTTCATTGTTTCCACGGGCACTGAGTACATCTATAAGTGGGTTGACAAGGAATGTGAAGCGCTTACGTAAATACTTACTTGTCTACATATTTTTAGCTGAAAGCTTCGGTTGCTAGCGCTGCGTTATTTCCTAGTTTGTGTAAGATTTTTTTTGCTACTTATATAGATTTCTTAATAAAATAAAATAAATCCAATTGAAATAAATTAATTAGGGGATTCACAAGACATGTTAAGCGTCGTTAAATCTTTTTAGGTGGTTCGTAACTTTACACAAATATTTTTGAACTAATAGGAAATATATTATTGGTTCTTAATACGTCCTACAAATCTTCTAAATCACGTTAACCGATGTTTGACATTGATAAATTTTACGATTTTAAGACATTAAGACACTTAACACGACTTGTGAATACCCAAAATGTAAAATAATGTACATAAAATTTTATATTCAACTGTCTCAACGCAGTGTCTGGCGTTTGTGTTGAAAAACATTGAAGTAAATACTTTATACACTTAGCCCATTTATGGGTATTTTAGTCCACTGAACTTTTAAGTCGATTATGTGAACACTTTGCTTTTTAAAAGTAAGCATGGGTAATCTGCTTACGAATTTATGTGGCTGTAAATCGTTATAAGCTTCGCTAAACTTTGGAGTGACAATAACCAAACACACTTGCATAGGTAAATATGTAAGTGTTCTTACAAATTTAAAAGCAAATACTGTTGTGTGTGGCTGAGTGGTTAGAGGTGTGTATTACCACTACGTAAGACAGTATATGTATTTGATTGATCTGATGCATAATTGATAATGGGTTTGATCATAGAGGATACCATTTGGTGACAGACAGGAGTTTTGTCAAAGACCGATTTATTGCAAAAATGTAGTAGGTTTTGGAGGTGTTACTTATACTCAACGTGAGATTTCCATCAAATTTCTGAAACCTGATGGGAATAAAGCTTACCAATATTCTCCTTCTATTGAAGAGGATGCCACCAGTTTGGGTTATTGTTGGTCGGAACATCTGCATTCTCTGATGAATTTACCCACTTAGCTTATGAAAGCTCCCGATAGGTATGCAAGTTGTATTGCTAGTTAGGTGCCTTCCCAGTTTTTATATCTAATATTCGACAGGACTGAGCATTCACATAGAAAATGCTGGCCACCTTCTTCTCTATCTTTTAGCTAACAGCTGCGGCAATTTCTATTATAGAATACTACTATTTTTTCTCATGTTTGCCTAAGGTCTAGTTGCCAGTGATGGCTGCTTCAATTTTGAATACCACTCTCTATCATATATTAGGCAAACCCAAACAAGTCTGTACATACATATGTATGTATATCTGAATACTTGTTTCTAGCCAGTTGAACGAAATGCATATTAATTTCTTTTGGGATTATTCTAAGACAAGCAGGCTTCCGTCTTCACAAAATTCATCAGCGCTCTCATTGCCTTGGATGTACCTGCATATGTATGTGTCCGGGAACCCAGACAAGACAGGCTGGGCGCATATGTATTTTGAATTCCTTATACTGGATTTACACTAGGTACTAAATGGCAAAAATGACAAATGACAAAGTTGTTCATTTAAAAATAATCGTGTCATTACGTTAAAAAAAATTGTCATTAAGTTCATTTCCACATGGCATTTTTTTAAATGGCATACACTTTTTGTCAGTTCAATGCCTAGTGGAAATTCGGCATTCGTTTTGTTAACCGGAGATACTCCTGCTAATCGCACCGTCTATCTGTATGCCGTTGTCAGAATATATTGTTGCTTTATTTTTGTAACCGACTCTATTATCTAAGATTTTAAAGACTTCAAGGATAACTAGAACTTCCCACTTGGACGATGCTTGTGTCCTTTCCCAAACGTTGAGGCAGAGAAACACCGACTACTTCAGTGTAGACTGCCGCTCCCACCCCGCAATTCATATTGGATTTGTCGGTGTAAAGAAGATATCCTCTTTATAGGCCACTAGGTAACTTCTTCATTATCTTCTGGATGGGAATCAAACTTCGTTAAAGTAATAACGGCACACAGACAAAGTAGCTATGCCAGTTTTCTCTTAATATATATTTATATACTTAACGCTTTATAGCATAATTTAGTGATGCTTTATTTACCAATGAAAAATAAATCAAAGGTGCCTACACAATTTGGC